AAAGTCTAAGATGGGGCTGGGTACAGTGGTTCACGCCTGTAATCCCAACACTTTGGGAGGCCAAGCTGGGTAGATCACCCGAGGTCAGGAGATTGAGACGAGTCTGGCCAACATGGCAAAACCCCGTCTCTACTAAAAATACAAAAATTAGCCAGGCGCGGTGGCACCCACCGGGAGGCAGAGGTTGCAGTGAGCCAAGATCGTGCCATTGCACTCCAACCTGGGGGACAGAAAGACTCTGTCTCCAAAAAAAAAAAAAACAAAGTCTAAATGGGTTGGCAGGGCTCCATTGCTTCTGGAGGCTCTAGGAAATAATTCATTTTTTGTCTTTTTCAGTTTCTAGAAACTGTCCTCATTGCTCCGTTCATGGCCCAGCATCACTCTGGTCTTGGCTTTTATGGTCACATCCCTTTTCCATCTCTGACCTTACAGCCAGCCTCCCAGTTATCAGGATTTATGATTATGATTATGATTTATTATGATTAGAAAGGAGAAGTGATGGACGTTCTCCTTTCTAACTAGTCTTATACAGTAACACGATAAATTTAAAAAGCAATGAGATTCCTTTGGTATAAATTTATTCTTGAACTTATGGCGGCCTTTCATGACCATAGCTTCTCTAAGTATGTCCATTAATTTTTCCTCTTGGAAATATTTGACCACCTGTACCACTCCTTCTTCCTCAAGATGCCCTCTTCCACAGGCTTCCAAAGTCCCACACACTTTTGTGTTGCATTCAAGAGGGTAACTGGTTGGTGGGCACAGAAGTAGGAAGGAGTCACTGTATACCCTTTGTAATTTTATTATTTTATTTGTTTATTTTCTTTTTGAGATGGAGCCTCGCTCCGTTGCCCAGGCTGGAGAGCAATGGCACGATCTCGGCTCACTGCGATCCTGGGTTCAAACGATTCTTTTGCCTCAGCCTCCTGAGTAGCTGGGATTACAGGCTCCACCACCATACCCAGCTAATTTTTGTATTTTTATTAGAGATGGGGTTTCACCGTGTTGGTCAGACTGGTCTCAAACTCCTGACCTCAGGTAATCACCTGCCTTGGCCTCCCAAAGTGCTGGGATTACAGGTGTGAGCCACTGCGCCTTGCTCCTTTTGTAATTTGAGATATTGATATCTTATAAATAGATGATATGTTAAAAAATAATTAAAAAAAAAAAAAACTATTGGCCAGGCACTGTGGCTCACAAATGTAATCCCAGCACTTTGGGAGGCCAAGGTAGGTGGTGTTCAAGACCAGCCTGGCCAAGATGGTGAAACCTGTCTGTACTAAAAGTACAAAAATGAGCTAGGTGCAGTGGCAGGCACCTGTAATCCCAGGTACTTGGGAGGCTGAGGCAGGAGATCGCTTGAACCTGGGGGGGCGGAGGTGGCAGTAAGCCAAGATCGTGCCCCACTGCAAGCCAGCCTGAGTGACAGAGCAAGACTCTGTCTCAAATAAATAAATAAATAAACAATTTTCTTCTATTTGGGAAAATCCACAAAATACTCCTTTTCAAATTCTGCATACCATCTTTCTTTCCTTAGGTAAGGCATAGAAAAAGCCGCAACATGTAGCACTACTTCCTTAGTTCCTAACCTAACAAGCCATGTCCTGGGGCCGAGCTCCATAACAGTATTTAAAATTGGGGTATATTATGTTATGGTTCCAAATGACTATCCTTTTGTGTAAAAGAATAATTCTTCCTTGCCCCATTGACATGGGGCTCTGACGTGTAACTTACTTCTGCCAACATAATGCAAGCAGAAGTCACGTGTGTCACGCCGAGTAGATGTTTCAAGAGTTATTGCATGGTTCTACCACAGTTCTTCTCCATCTGCCATAGATTGGTGTGTCCCAGATATGGGCTATTCCTTCAGCTGGATCCCAATTGAAAAGCCACAGTGGACTCACAGCGGACCCAAACACAAATGGAAAATAAGCTTTTGCTGTATAAATCACAGAGAATTGCGGGCTGTTTGTTACTGGAGCAGAACCTAGCAAAAACTGGCTAAGATAGTAATAAGTTTACATATTTGTTTACTTTAATACCCATGAGATGGTCTTTCCCCAAATTAAAATCTATGAGTCACCTTAATCTCTCCCCTTTCCCTCATCCTCCACATCCAATCCTCATGGATCCAGTCTTGCCAATTCCAAATCTGTCAATCTGTCAGCTTCTTTCTCTCCACAGCTGCTGCTTCATCCACGCCACCATCATTTTCTGCACAACAAGGTCCAACAACCTTCTTATTCCATCTAGTCCTTTCTCCACATGGAAGCAAATCAGATCATGGCACTCATCTATTCAGGCCCCTTTGGAGAGTTTCTATTAAACTTGGAATAAAACCCAATTTCTTATCAAGAGCCATGAGGACCCTGCATGATCTGGTTCTGGTCTCCTCTCATCCTGTTAGGCTCCAGCCACACTCATCCTGTAACCCAGGGCCCCCGGTCTTTGGGTGCACACTATGATAGGGTAACCACTTGTAACTGTTATGCCTTGAGTTTCTGTTGTTCCAGGAAGAAGCCCAGCTACAGCAAAACCAAAACCAGCTGGAAGTAGAGATGCCTCAGTCAGAGATAAACTTTGGTGAACTCTCAGCATTACCACACTAAAAAGCACACCAAGGGGGGAGCCTATTCGCCATTTTTTTTTAAAGGATCAGAGATTTTAATAGACAAGAAGGGTCAAGAAGGAAGGGAGAAGGAAGAAGTTCCCCTGTACAGAGGAGGGGGCTCCAAAGCTGAGAAAGGGAACCCCACCTGCCACAGATACCAGCTAGGTATATATACAGAGGCTGGAGGAGATAGCGTGTGATTTGTATAGGGCTCACGGGATGGGTTTGACTGGGCATGTCATTCACGTATCCCTCAAAAAAGCTGGCCCTCCCACCCTAGCCTGGTAATATGCAAATGTAGAGTGCCATGATGTTCTACATACATGGGGATACGTGGGGGCGGCCATGTTGCTAAGAACATGTGGACAAAGGGCAGTTAGGCCACGGGAATCTCCATGTTTGGGTAGACCCAGTTTCTAATGGCTGGTATTTGCATATCAAAGGTTGCCAGCCTGGCTCTAAGGGCTTTTCAAGAAACTTTTCTGGAGATGCTTTAAAAAATGAAAACTTCCCAAGGACCCCTTTTCCTCTCTATCTGCCTAAAATAATTTCTTAATAACTCCTATAACATTCCCCTCTGTGGAGACACTAACTGCTGTTAGGGGATTTTGAGCGACAACTCCTTCCGGCTATTCCCTGCTGAAAAGGGGCATGAAATGGGGAACAGCAGCTAGAGCTCCTCCTGGGTTGATCTAAGGGTCCTCAAAAGAATGGCGTGTCCCTGTGTGGAGTTTGACTGCTTCTAGGTGAGAAGAAACTATCCGAGTTATGGTATTGTGTGTACAGGGTCCAAATATCAATACAAGACATATAAGCAAGAGAGGGCTTAAGGGGTTAACCAATTCAATAGAGAAGACTGGAATTTATTAAAGAGGCATAGTAGCCACTTGGGGCTGAAGCAAACATTTTCCCTGAGCCTGTCAATAATTTTCTATTCGCCATTTTCAATACATGCCATGTGTGAAGAAGCAGGATCTGCGACACAGGTGCACTACCTTTACCCCACCCGCGCCGCCTTTACCCCACCTGCACTACCTTTACGCCACCTGCACCGCCTTTACCCCACCTGCACTACGTTTACGCCACCCACGCTACCTTACCCCACCTTTACAAGCAATGACTCAGCCAGCAGCACGATAAAAGCCCTGCTCTCACCTTCATTCCAGGAGACACTGCTTTGGGAACTGTCCCCAGTGTTCTTACTGGATGCAAGTACTGAAACCCACTGTTGCATTCTCCTTGATTGTGGTCACTGGGTTCATAATAACCCTACAAGGGTATAGCATCAAGAACATATGTTATACGGAATCATATTGATTTGGGTTCAAATGCCAGTTGCTACTCTTGCAAATTCCTTAACTTTCATTTCTTCATCTGTAAAGATGTTCACCCACCAAGCAACCAGACCCACCCACTACATAACAATCCTCCAGCTCCTCGAACTCATCAAGCTCTTTCCCGCCTCAGAGCCTTGTGTATATTGTTCCCTCTTCCTAGGCTCTTTCCCATCATCTGGTCTTAAATGTCACCTACTGCAGGAAGCCTTCCTTTACTACATACAAAGTAAAATCCAGACCCTCCTGCCCATATCCCAACTCCATCACTCTGTATTTATTTTAACTCTTTGATTATTTTCTTGGTGGCACTTATCATAATTTGCAATGTTGTTTTTTTTTTTAATTCTCTACTAGACTGTAAATTCCATGAGCAAAAAGATTAACTCTTACCTAACACTGTATCCCTACAGGCTTTGAGTCTGACAAAGCAGGCACTTGGTGCGATATTTGTTACGTATTTTATATAGTCATTTTATAGAATCTGAGAAGCAATGGTTAATCAAGCCAACATTGCAGACTTTATCTCAGTGTAGATCAGTTTTCTCTACTTGTTTACAAACTCTCTAACCTGATCAACTGTCACCATCATTGGTATCTTCAGCTTCACTGCAATGCTGCGTAATATTAATACATTTAGCACCAATTATCACCACCACTATTCAATTCTTTTCAAATCAATAGATACTTAAGAGCATTAAGTGCCAAGTGTCTATTAATACATCAAGAGAATGAGTAGCATCACCTACTTACATGATAAAACAGCATCATTTTGCTTATACATGTATGTAATACCTGGAATTAATTGTGATGCTTATCATGGACCGGGGACTGTGATAAGTTTGTTACATACATCATCTCCTGTACTCTCCATGACAGGCCTACAAGGGTATAGCATACCAAGTACGCACACAGGTTATAAAATAATATTGATTTGGGTTCAAATGCCAGTTATGCTACTGTTGCCAATTCCTTACCTTCTCTGTGCTTTCATTTCTTCATCTGTAAAATGGGAGCAATAGACTGGGCACAGTGGCCCACGACTGCAATCATAGCACTTCGTGAGGCTAAGGTGTGCAGCTCACTTGTGCTTAGGAGTTCAAGACCAGCCTGGCCAACATGATGACCCTGCTCTACTAAAAAAACAAACAAACAAAAAAAGCCAAGCATGGTGGTGCACGCCTGTAATCCCAGCTACTCAGGAGGCTGAGGCACAAGAATGGTCTCAGCCTGGGAGGCAGAGGTTGCGGTGAGACAAGATCACGCCATTGTATTCCAGCCTGAGCAACAAAGAGACCCTCTCTCAAGGAAAAAAAAGAAATGGGGGCAATAGTGGTAACCACACCTTAGGGATGATTGCTTTGAGGATTAAATAAGATAATATATGTAATGTGCTTAGCTCAGTGCCTGACACATAGAAAAGTGTTTCATAAATGTCAGCTGTCTCTTCTTAGCTTGCTCTTCTGGGGTTATTGTATATCCTAAAGCATCAGTGTGTTCGGCACAGAGGGAGAATGAGTTCCTGCCCTTTAGGAGGACATAGTCAGAGGCAGCTGGGAGCACATATGCAATCAGAAGAGGACAGCAAACATGTTCTTAGAACGGTTGCATTCATTTCTACGGTCCGAGCATAGTAAACTCGTGTTCTCATTTCCTTTTCCACCAAAACAGCTATCTCTGCTCCCTGAAGAGGCCTTGGATTATTATAGCTCCTTAAACGCTGCGAAATTTCTCAGGAGAGAAGGAATGTTTTTTTAAAGCAAGCACAGCTTGGAGCTAGAAAACAAAAGGTTACTAGGACAATGTAACTCATTTCCTGTTTTTCTCAACTGTCTAGACACAGATCTCATAAGCATTAGCCATGAATCCCACCATCAGGTTAAAAATAGAAGGTTTAAATATGAAATGCTGTGGTGGAGGAAAGATTATAGGTTTCTACCTTTGTCCACAAAATGACTACTTTGAAATAGGATTTTTTCCCTTTTTTTGTTAGTTTTGCCATAAGTTTTGTGAAGCAGTATTTCAACAGCAGGAATAGAGAACACCTTTTTTCTAAAGAATATATTTTCCCCTTGTAAAGCTAATGCAATTTAGGTTTTAAAAGCCACTTGAAGCAAGCTTATGGTAGCCTCTCCAAACAAAAAATCTGGTCACGATTATAATACTTGCAACATTTCAGGTAATTGCCCAGACCAACATTTAACCTCAAATAAATTTGTGCAACTGAAAATGCATACAGATTTGACGTTTACTTTTTTTTCTATCTTCTGCCTCCATAAAATTATTAGACAAATATTTTGTTTTGAATGCAGAATTATTCTGTAAAACAATTTTTTTTTTTCGAGATGGGCTCTCACTCTGTTGCTCAGGCTGCAGTGCAATATCGTGATCTCGGCTCACTGCAACCTCTCCCTCCAGGACTCAAGTGATCCTCCCACCTCAGCCTCCCGAGTAACTGGGACTACGGGAGCACACACAGCTAAATTTTTTGGTATTTTCAAGAGACGGGGTTTTGCCATGTTGCCCAGGCTTGTCTTGAACTCCTGGACTCAAACAATCCACCTGCTTCAGCCTCCCAAAGTGCTGGGATTACTAGTGTGAGCCACTGCACCCAGCCTGGAAAACAAATTTTTTAAAACTCCTTTAATAATCCATAGGCATGCTGGGCATGGTGTCTCACACCTGTAATCTCTCAACTCAAGAGACTGAAGTGGGAGGATTGCTTGAGCCCAGGAGTTTGAGAGCAGCCTGGGCAACATGGCAAGAACCCATCCCTAAAAATAAATAAACATATAAATAAAATAATCCATGAGCAGTGTTACACAAGTGTGGAGGATCTACAATGCTGTTTTCCAAACTTATTGAACCACAAAACTCTTTAATCAGGATAATGCTATTAACACCTCCTAAAATAGTTTTCCATGGAATACCAGTTCAGGAAATATGAATTGGATAATTCTATAATTTTTTTTCTGGTTCCAGAATTATATAAGGCTAGGTCTCTTCTCTGACAACTTCAGCTACCTGAATTACAACATAAAACTTGAAAGTAAACAAGTACTAATGACTCTGCAATATTGTAATGAACTTACTCTCTTTATTTTTGGGAGATAAGTAAAAGCATGCCTTAGAGATATTCATGCATTTACCTTTGAATGTATTCATTGCGGTCTTTAGTAGTTATACAGATATATGTTGAAATAAATATAGATTTATAATATATTTATAATTTTCTAATATAAAAATTTTAAATTATACAATTTTATAATTTATAAATATAAACATATTTATGTGTGCTAGCATACCTACATATATTTCCAAACTCTGTCCACTAAGAGGATGTAGAAGCAATGACACCCCAGTAGCAATAAGCACACCCAATGCCAAAATCTTGGTTTCTAAGGCCATTTTCCAGTAAATGCAATTAGAGTTCTTTGGAGAAAAGATCTATTCCACGGTTGGGGCAAAGAAAATACAAGATGAGCCTAAATTAAAAGGTAAGCATCAAAAATCAAGAAAGTACTAAAAATAATAAGGCATGATGAAAGGATACAAGAGCCAACCTGTTTAAGCTCCTAACGGCCAGAGCTGGAACCATTGGACCAACAAAATAAATAATGACAGTGTTAAATTATAGCCTATAAAACAAAATAAATATTCATCATTCCATATTGATATAAAAAAATTAATGAAGGAGAAGGAATGACTCTTTCTTACAGAAGAATCCCTATTAATAGAAAAGAAATGAAGGAAACAGAAAATCACTAATAGGCAAATACCATAAAAAACTAGTGGGTGAAGGTACAAGAAATAGGATATTTGCATAGTTTTTTTTTTTTTTTTTTTTTGAGACAGAGTTTTGCTCTTGTCCCCCAGGCTAGAATGTAATGATGTGCTCTCGGCTCACTACAACCTCTGCCTCCTGGGTTCAAGCGATTTTCCTGCCTCAGCCTCCTGAGTAGCTGGGATTATAGGCATGCACCACCATGCCCAGTTAATTTTTGTATTTTTAGTAGAGACAGGGTTTCACCATGTTGGCCATGCTGGTCTCCAACTCCTGACCTCAGATGATCCGATCGCCTGCCTTGGCCTCCCAAAGTGCTGGGATTACAGGCGTGCACCACCACACCCAGCAGTATTTGCATAGTTTTAAAGTATTTCCCCAAGATATTTGTTAGCCACAGAGGTGAGAAGAAAAACGGTGATTTAGTGGAGAAACCTGGAAGACACCACTTTAACCAAGAGATCAAAGTTAATTTCTCCTGTAATGATATATACCAACATTGTACACTTCTTGATATGGTGTATGGGAAAGGACATAACATTACTTCTGAGGTATTCTTGCCAAACTTGTATTGTCTCAATTTAATTAGAGAAAACACAGATGAACCCAAACTGGAGAACATTCTACAAAGTTACTGACCAGCTGTCTTCAAAAGTGTCAAGATCACGAAAGACAAAGAAAAACTAAGTTATAAAAGACTGAGTTTGTCTCCTTCTCAGAGCTAAGTTCAATGGGAGATCCAGGTTTGGATCCTGGATCAGAAAGAAAATTATGGGAAAACCAGCAAATTCAAGTAAAATCTATAGTTTATTTCATAGTATCGTGGCAATGTTAATTTCCCATTTTGATCATCATACTGTGCTTATGTAAGATGTTAAACAATAGGAGAAGTTGGGTGAAGAAATATATAGGAATTGTCTGTATTATTTTTGTAACTTTTTTAAGACAAAAATTATTTCAATTTTTAAAATAACAAATATGTTCACAAGTCAAATATTTATAACTCAGTGTCTTGCATACCAATGATATTAATAATAGCAATAATAATAACAATGTGATTTTTTAAAAAACTTTTACTTCCTAACTATCTATAATGCACTAGGAGCTTTTATATGTGCTCTTTCCTTTAACATTCACAATCTGAGATCATAAAGTTAAGTAACATGAACAAGGTGATGTTTCTAGTAAGTGGCAGAAATATAATGTCAACTTTTGTTATAATCTAGCAGAGAAGATCAAAGTAAATTACTTACTGCTTGAAAGAGATCAAATTGAAACCTAAAATTATGTGGCAATGCTGAATATCTGTGCTACATGATTTCTGTTTCTTGTTCATTTTCTAAGACTTCAAGGCATGTCAACAATGTAGAAATTCAAGAATACAGGCTGGGCACAGTGACTCACGCCTGTAATCCCAGCACTTTGGGAGACCAAGGCCAGCAGATAACTTGAGGTTAGGAGTTTGAGACTAGCCTAGACAACATAGTGAAACCTCATTTCTACTAAAAATACAAAAATTAGCCAGGTGTGGTGGCGTGTACCTGTAATCCCAGTTACTCAGGAGGCTGAGGCAGAAGAATCGCTTGAGCCCAGGGCACAGAGGTTGCAGTGACCCGAGATTGCGCCACTGCATTCCAGCCTGGGCAACAGAGCAAGACTCCATCTCAAAAAAAAAAAAAAAAAGAAAAAGAAATTCAAGAATACAAATTAATTAATACCCTAGGTGTGTAATGTATGCCTTACTTTCTGAATAATTTTCTACAAAATTCCCTCAGGGCTTGTATGCCGTGGAAGATTTTCCCAGACACTTTCTTACACATTGATTTTGTGATTGCTTTTATGTGATTTAATAATACTGCAATCACCAAATGAGACAAGTTTCATTTTCTCCATTTTTACAAAAAAATAAAACTCTCAAGGAGATTGAGAGACCTTCCACAGCACAGCTTCCCATCTCCTCCCTCCAACAGTTTACAGTTAACAATGGGCATTGTTGTCCATTCAAATGAAGGTAAACTAATACCCAGGGCATCCTTCAATAAGAAAATCAGTGATGAAAGGAAGGAGAGCAGAGGGGAAGAAGGAAGACACTTGGGCTAGTGAATATGGGTAAAACTCAGCTCAGCCACTTAACTGTGATCTGGGCCAGTTACTCTCCCTGCCTCTTTCTCTTCCACAGAAAAAGAGTTGTAGGAACTATAAGGGGTTGAATAATGTCTCCCTCAAAATGCATGCCTTTCCAGAACCTCAGAATGTGACATCTTTGGAAACAGGGTATTTGCAAATGTAATTAACTTAAAATCAAGTCATGCTGGATCATGGTGGGCCCTAAATCCAATGGCTGCTGTTTTTATCAGAA